CCTCCCCGGCAGCCACGGCAGGTGCCGCAGGACATATAAGGAGGCCGTGTGCTCTCCGGGCAGCGGCCAGGGGCTATTTTAAGTCTGGCGGCACATGCCATTTGTGCATGTCACTTCTCAGTGACAATAAGGTGTCAGAACAAGGGCCAGGGAGGCTGCTGTAGCTTCTCCTTCCCCCACCACGCCGTCCACTCAAGGTTTGGCGAGATACACAATTTGACTGGTTCAATTGTTAAAAAAAAACAAAAAACAAAAAACAGAAATTTTCTTTATCAACCTTATCAAATCTTTGCAGCCTGGGCTTCCTTGATGGCATGTGCCTGGTTTATAAAGGCTGTCTGCGATCCTGCTGCCAGCACGGCACAACGAACCCCACCTTCCCAAGAGCACACCTTCAATTCATCTTCACCAGCAACGTTGCAGGCGAATACGTTCAAGTTCCTACTTCTCTCATCATCAGAAAACATTTAAGCTGCTTTCATGCCACTGGAGCACAGGATCCACCCGGTGAGCAGTAAGCCAACCGCTTTCCTGAGCCATCCCTCCACACCACTGACCGCTGCTGCTCCACACGCAAACATCATCAAGGCAGCACGCGCCCAGATCAGCCGTTAAAACAAAAAATATTTCTACTTTATCTTTTGATGGGAATTCCCCTGAGTTATTTGTGACATTCCCACCTAAAATACTCCTTTTGCTTCACTATCACAAGAAAGAGCTGAGCTCATCCCGCAGACCCTCGGAGTCCTGGGAAAAGCCGAGAGGCGCTGGAATGCCCCCGGCCCAGCCCGCGGCACAACGAGCAACCACACGATAAGGAGCCGGGGGTGCTTGGGATGGACGTACTTCCACAAAGGCAAGCCGCTTATATCATGTTTCTAATTTTGCTACCTAGCGCTTGCCGCCCAACCCCACCTAACGCTGCAGGGCATAGTTTTCCATTGGAGGAAAAAAAAAAATAAATCACACTAATAAACCACATTACAATAACGAAATGCGGGGCAGGACAGGGCATGATTTTCAGAGTGTTGGGGTTTTTTTTTTTTTTGCTTCACCAAAAGGAGAACTCCCAAAGGCTGCCATAACCATGAAAGCTAATTACCGACGCACCGCTCTAAGTTACCGCTTAATGATTTCCAGCGTAATTTCGTTCAGCCTTCGAGAAGAAAGGTTTGTGTTAACAGCGAGAGCTTATCCCGTGCAACAAGTTTCGAGAGCCTCGCGGCTGACTGGCAGCCCACAAAAACCACCGGGAACCACACTCCGTGCAACAAATTTGTTGAGTTTTTGGGGAGTGCGCGTGGTTATGTTTCTGTAAGCGGTCTGGTTGATTGCTTTTTGAGGTCGCGCGCCGCAGTGCTTCAAAACAAGCTCCAGAGCTGGTAATTAACGCCAGCGTGCCGCCGCTATTAATACATACCGCACTGGAGAAAACAAACCAAAAAGTCCTACCTGCCGGAAAAATAGCAACCCAAACTAAAACACTGTTACATTAAACCACAGCAAAGGGAGAGGCGTACCGAGAGGAAGGAGGGCGCTGGAGACAAAAATACCCCATGAAACGGAATGGTTTTGCCGCTTTGCGACCGGCAGCACCCAGGAGTAGTTTGGGTGGGAAACAGCAAGCGGGAAAGGGTACAGCGCAGGAGTTCAGGGGGGTTCCAGAAATCTCGGCGTGCGAGGAGGAGGAAGGTGGCGGCGTGAAGAGGCGCTCAGCGCCGGAGCCTTTGGCCTCGCACCATCCCAGTGTGAAAATGGACATTTCCAGCAGGACGACGCCCGCGCTCCTGCCCGAGGCTTTTACAAACCATGGCGGGAAGAAGCGTCGCCCAGCGCT